AGAATTGAAGTAAAAAGGTTTAATTAAAATTAAAAAGTTTGCTTAGTATTTATCTACATGAAAACAAATAAAGGAGGAATAAAGTTTAACAATTTGCATATCAAAAATTAAGTACATTGGAATATTGTGAGAACAAGCCATAATGATGGAATCAATCCACTGTTCCATCATCACAATAGCAGGTTTGTTTATTTACGCCCTGCCCTTTTCCCAATACAGAGCCCCAATGTGGCTGCTGTTATTGCTTGTAGAAGGGAATAATTATTCTGAATAATGATTTACCTATACACTACAGTAATAACTATTTTAAATGATTTATGTATATTTCATTACTGTAAGAAACTATTACAAACACATTGATGCTTTTGATACAAATGTAGGAACAGTGTGGCAAATTAGTAAATAAGCAAGCTAGTATTAGGCAAGTTGTTCCTCAGTTTAAAACTCCTGTTGACTTTAGTAGAAGTTACTTTGATATCCTTATTTTAAAATAACAGACTAAAGAGGAAGAAGGCAGGAGTAGCATTGTACATAAGAGAGTATTTAAAAGTGCATGTCTTGTGCATGGAATGCTTGTGAATATATGGGGAAATATCAAAGGAAGGAAACAATAGTGGCATCACACAAAGGTCTGCTACAGATCTCTAAGGCTTACTGGGGACTTGGATTATACTGTACTCTCCGATATAATATTGGCAAAAGAGAGAGCGATACAGCAGTAAAGGTAAACTTCAACTTCCCTGATGTCTCTTGGAACCTGGAAGTCAAATGCTGCCAAGTACTGTATGTAAGATCTAATGATTCTTCAATTGCCCCAATGACATTTCATTTTCTAGAATGTAAATAGAGTTGAGGGTTTCAAATACTGTGGTGCCTTGATTTACAACTATAATCTGCTCAGAAGATGGACCATTTCCTATTGAAATACACTGGAGCACAATTTGGAACTTTTGGCTGAGTTGAGATTTAAGGGAGGTTTATATACAAAACAGAAGAGGAGGCAGCTTACCAAGAAAGAGTACACACACTATTTGTAGGGAAAAGGTCATATGGATAACGTTCAGAAAGATCTCAGATTTGAAAAAAAGATTAAAATAATAAAAAGGGGTGTGTGTCCCCCAGCTATGCTTAGAGCAACAGGAAGATCAATGAAACAAGTACCGCCATGACAGAAAAATGTTGAAGGGTAATTGAGAAGGCAGAGTTGCCAAGACCTATTTTACCTTTTATTCCAGAAGGAAAAAAATGCTGAATTTAGTGCAAGTAGGCAACGGAAGTAGTGAGAAGGCTGCTGCCCAAGATAGTAAGGAGGTAATATGGGAACACCTTAGCTGCTTTAAATGAATTCAAGTCTCCAGGGCCAATTTAAATGCATCTGAGGATAGTAAAGGAACCTGGAAGATGTAACCTGAAAGCCTGTTTGCAATGTTTGAGAACATGTGAAGACCCCGGAGACCAAAGGCAGACCACTTTCAGAAAAGGAGAGGAAAAATAGATTACTGTATTTAGGGAATTACTGACTAGTCAGTGTGACATCAATATTAAGAAAGGTTCGACACATGCTGCCTTCGGGACTCCAGCTCCGGATTTTGCCTCGAGGTTAACTCCTGAAGCCTTTTCCATGAGTGGATATAGCCACAAGGCAGTGGAGGTTTGAAATTGGAGTTTTCCTTCTCCTAGATGGGCTGCCTCGGTCTATGGGTACTTAGAAAAGAATACAATGGCAGGAAAGCCATTATGTTGTAATGCCAATATAATACAATCAGCACAAACTTTTAATTTGTAACAGTTTGCTGCCATAATTTGCAATTGTGCCAGCAAGCATAATACAGGATTCTGACCATTTGATTAATAGGAGCTGGAATGGATTTTTTTTAAAAGTTAAACTAATGTCATCTCTATTTTAGATAAAATCACAAGTTTCATTGAATAGACAAATGCTGTAGACATACTGTACAGTATCTTGATTTCAGGACACATTCAAAAGAGTCCCCCATGATATTCTTGCAGACCATAGACTCAGTTAAGAGGTGCAATTTTTGGAACTGATGCTTTTTCTGCACCAACCATAACTCTGTGGTGCCCACTCTGATAAAGATCCATATGGGAGCCATAACTAGCTTATTTTGGTGATTTTTTGGTAGGCATAAAGACATCACCCAAGCCTGCCTTTGAATAATAGATAGGTTGCTATTACATCTGAGGACACACTTAAGATCCAGATTGGAAATTAATTTAATGGCCTGAACTTTTGGACTCCCCTTGTGGGCAAAATTATTTTTTCTGAATATGGCGATGGTCATGATGAGCATCTGCACTTTCAAGTTTACCAGTACACCACTGGATTATGATAGCCACCTTCAAATAGGTGAAAGATTGTCGTGTGGAAGGCAGAATAGACTTGTTTTCTGGTACTGCAGAGGACAGGATCCAAACCAACAAATTTAGATCAAAAGAAAGATTTCAGATAAACAGGAATAAATTCTTGAACAATTCTGTTCAGTACTATTTAGAAAGTTAATGGGGAAAAAAGTTCATGTGAACTTTTTATAGAGTCTGGATGACATATGTCAGGGATGTTTTACATGGAATTTCTGACGTAGGCAGAGGGTTGGATTTTGACAATCTAGCAGACTCTTTTCACATCTGCAATTCTATGGTTCTGTGATAATTCAATTGGAGCTTTATGATTTACAGCCCAATCGTAATTATGCATACATGGAAGTATACTTACTGAAATGAGATTGTCTTCCAAATTTATTTGAGACTGACTGCACTAGCACTCATTTTCACCACAGTACTGAGGAAACACAGGGTTGCCAGGTCCTGTTGCATATTTTGCAACCACCCCATTTATCATGTATATACTATCTCCTTCAACATATGGACAGCCAAGGAGAAAATTAGGAATTGGGGCGAACAAGAGAAGTAACACTGCTTCCAGTACCACTTTTTAAAAACTCATTTTTTTTATTTGAGAGCAGTACTTCTGTGTGTACAGTGTACATTTTCCCCAATGCAGAGTAACCAGCTTCAGCTGCATACATGTGGAATCAGGAGTCCCAAGGGCAAGGAATCAGGTTTTTAAAGACTAGGAAGATGAATGTGTGCTTGCAGAGGACTGAAATAGAGGTTACAATGGTTTCCCATCTCTGTACAGTAGATAGTCCTGTGAAGTACATGAGTGTGGACCTCACTGATCACAACACATCCCCAAACTATCCTCACCCCCCCCCCATTACAAAATACTTTCTCGTGAACACCAGACTTGGGGCCCACATGACTGTCGAGAAAGGGAGCATCTCTCTTCTTTATTCACTTGGGCAAAGGAGAAAAAACGTAGCAGCAAAAATAAGTCGAAATTCGTATTCAGTGCGAAGGGGAAGAAGCTCAAAACGAGGTTTGCTTTTCAGGTCCCTCTTCGGGGACGTCTGAATAGTTCGCCTCCGGGGCGGCGGGGGAGAGAAACTGTTGCTTTTATTAGAAAACCGAAAAGCATCGTAAGGAGGGCAGGCAAGGATATTTGCTTTTCAGGTCCCTCTTCGGGGACGTCTGAATAGTTCGCCTCCGGGGCGGCGGGGGAGAGAAACTGTTGCTTTTATTGGAAACCGAAAAGCATCGTAAGGACAGGCAAGGATAACGACGGCGAAGGAGCCTGGTGGTACCTTCCACACTAACAGAGACCCTGTAGCGCGAATCGCTTCCTCTCCCACGCACGCATACTATTCAGCGGCCTCGAGTCAAAGTCCCTCGAAACCACACGCCCACGCCCACTCTCTTTCTCTCACACACGCACTCGCTCCTCTCTTAAGGTGCCACGAAAAGGCTCTCGTTTGGTTTGTCGTTGGCTCCCGTTACAGAAAACCTCCGTCTCGGGAATTCCGAAGCCTTGAGGCGAAGGAGCAACTTTTGAGATGAGGCGCGGCGGGGAGGCAAGTCGTGGCTCTCGCCTCACCGTCACCCTCACTCCCCCCCCCACTCCTCGCTCGCACCGACTCGCAGCCTCCCGACCTCACCGCGCGTTTCTCTCCTCTCACGCTCCCAGCCTCTTTTAGAGCGCGCTTCTCAAACAACCCCTCCCCGTGCACGTCCACACACACCTCGCCTCAGCAGAGCTCTCTGCCCCTTCCTCTCCCCCCCCCCTCAACATGGTCCCTCGCGAGCTCTGCGAGGAACTTCTCATCCCGGCTCTATGGGTGGGTGTCCGTTTTCCCTCCTCGCTGCACCCCCCTCCCCATTCCTTCCCGTCCACTGCGCCTACTTCTCCCTGTTTAGTAGCGCCAGAGGGGGCGCGCGCGGGCGTGACTGAGTAAGTGAGTGTGTATATAGGGGGGGCCGCGCGCGCCCGGGCGCGCGCCGACTCTCTCTCTCTCTTCAGAGCGGCGCGTGGGGCACCTGCTTGTCTGTCTCCGGCTTGCTGCTGCTGCCGCCGCCGCCAGGGCTACGCCAGGGGTGCCGAAGCGGGAGCTTCTGGTCTCTTCTTCGGCTGCTGCTTCGTGCGGGCTGCCCTTCTCCATCTCGCCGCTGCTGGGGGGCTGCTGCTGGCGCCGCTGTTGCTGCTCGCCGCGCGGTCGGGAGCGAGTTGGGCTCCTCCGGTTGGGGTTTTACCCCCTTCCCCGCCTGCTCCTTCCCCCTTGCCTGCGAGTCAGCCTGGCTCCGAATCACGTGGCAATTGCCTGAGGCAGAGACTAAAGAGGAAAAAAAATAAAAAAAATAAAAAAGCGCCTCATTCCTTCTTCCACCGCCATACTGTATTTTATAGTAACTCGCAATTTTTATTCCTTCCTTTTACTCCCGCTCGGTGAGTACCTTTCCACTGACATTCTTGTCCTCCTTTTTTGTCCTGTTTTTTTTCTTCCTTTTTGTTTTTGCTGCTTTTTTATTTTTTAACCTCTTTGTTTTCATGGATTTGATCCTTTTTCTGATGACAAGTTTTTTTTTCTTAGCATGCGATGGTTTACTAAGCTGGGAGCAAAAGGTGTTGCTGGCACTGGAAGTCACTGGGAGTCTAAAGAGGAAAAAGAGAGCGAGAGAAATAAGACTTGCCAGTCCAGCAGTAACGTAAATGCATATGCCTGATACGTATTTATGCAGATGCAACTGGTTTTGTTATAACGAAAAAAGCGCGATGTGAATTATAATGCATATTTTTTTAAAAAAACAAAGAGATGAGAAGTGGGCATGTTGCTTAACTCTCTTTTGCAGAGATTTTTGATGATGTTCTTTTTGGGTTTTTTGTATATATATAATATATATATATGGGATTTGAAAATGCATTTTACAGCAGTGTTTACAAGTAGTTTGTGATCTTGCAATACTGGAACAAACCACTGTGCAAGATACTAATTTTGTTAAACGTTTTTTGTTTTTGTTTTTCTTTTTGTTTTGTTTCCCTTTTTTCGTCACCCAGTTGCAATCACCCGTTTTTCTTCTTTTTCTGTTTTTGATGCCCATTGATAATGTGAAACTTTTGTTGCAGCTTGCTACAGTTGATCATTTTTTAAAAAACCCTCCCCAATGCTGTATTGAAAAAAGAGAGAGAGAGAGCCAAAGATAATTCCTTTACAAAACTTCACTTTTTATATTCTTTTATACCAGTACGATGATGATCATAATGTTGATAGATATGCACATATATACAAATAAGTTTTCAAATGATGGCAGTGGAAGGTTTTCCTGGAGAATGAAGTGCGGTTTGGTTTCCTTGTCAACGGAAGATGAAGTGAACAACTGAACATCTCCCCAGTGCAGGTACTTCAGCTCCTTGTAGGCGTTTCCACTCTTTGTAAATTACATTATGAGACAACCCCCCCCCCCATAAGATCTCTTGAGCCTTTGGCACAGACCTGCAACTGATGAAATGAGCATGAAGCTAGGTATTCTTTACCTGTTTTGAAGGGATGCAGATATGGTGTAATAATTGTGCTCAAGTCATTGAAGCTTGAATGGTTTTGAATACAGAAAGGGAGCCTACCTGCATGGCAGGCATGAGACAGGTCTCGCAGTCAATGAGTGACTCCTCAGTGAGGTTGAGAAATTAACAATGCCAGGGCAGGATTGTTGTAAGAAAGATGTTGGGGTTTTGTTATCATTGCCCACTAGGTGTCTGATGCTCAGCAGCATCCCTTTAAGGCTTGTTGCATCACGAGAGTCTCACGCACGCACAGAAACGCACAGACATCCAAACGTAATTTTTTCCCTAATTCCAACTTTTGGCCTTCTACCTAGGAAAGACTAAAGAATGTTTTGGCTCCTGCATATAAGCCTTCAGTTATAGGGAGGACGATTTGAGTTTCAGCAAACAGTTGATTCCCCCCCCCTTTTTTTTTTTTTGGCTTAGTAATCCTTACTGGTTGTAGTTGCCAATGTCTGGAAAATCCATTGTTTCGATCATTGTTCATGATGAGGCAAGAAATATGTAATTTTTAAAATTTATGCTCTTTATTGCTTAAAATGCCTGGATAGATTGTGATTTTAAAAGGAAGGATTAGGTCCTGTGTATGATTTGATAATATTTTTTCCCTCTCTATGCCACCAGTTTTTTTTTTCAAGCATAGACCAGTGCTGGAAATGTGGTAAGCACTGGTGCACTGGAAATTTACATATCTGTTTTTCTTTACGATTAATGCTTTAAGGCAGTACAGTATTCTGAAGGTTATGCAGTCAGTCTTTAAAGGATTTGTAATTTCTTTGATTTCTGGAGACACAATGGTATACTTGCATAGTTTAAATTAGATAGAAAATACTGTGAAAGCAATCTAAAGGCAGCAACTTCATATGTTTATTTGGAATTTTCTACAGTTTGAAATACTTTGCACATTCATGTACCATGATGCTAAAGTTTGTATATATCTAATTAGTAATGACTGTGCATCTTAGTGGGTGTCTGGAAAGCCAATTAAACCAACGGTGTAATGTTATTTAGAGAACAAAGACTGTAGTTATATATTTTCTATAGGACATGCCCAGAAGACCTAATAAAATACTGTATTTCTGATGCAGCATTATTGTTTGGACACTGTCTGGAGAAAGAATTTGGGACTGGAGCTTTAATTCAAATGTGTGACATTTCCCTTGAGGTGATCTATTTGTATTTAAGATTTAAAGTACTGGACAGCACTTAGTTAAACTTATTTCTGGATTTTGACCAAACATGTAACAGCATTATAAATAAAGGCATGATCAGAAACCCATTTATTTAAATGTTAGTCTCACTAGTGTCAGTGAATTTAGGTAGTGACAATGCCTTGTGAAGATGAGTTGCAGTCATTTGTTTGGAATAGTTTCTGTCACAGTTCATCAATAATATATTTTTGAAATCATTCTTTGAAAATGTTCAAGTTTCTAAACTGTGCAGGGTTTGAATAAACTGTGCACTTAGCCAACCTTCAGTGTTGTTAGTTTCAAGATGTTCAGCAAGTCAAGCAAACTTGCATTTCCTTATTCCATAGGGCAATGTAGATGTGTTACCTCGATGATCTTATAATATTCTGCTTGGTTATGTGCCGTAACTCAGTGTACTTTGAGGCTGAATTTATTGCATTTTTACTGTGTATATAAGGAGTAGAAAGTCATGGCAGATAAGAACAAAAATAAGAAAAAAATAGAATTATGAGTAAATTCTTAAGTGATTATTTAACTCCCGTGCATTAATGGAGTTCCATATCCTTCGAGGTGAGTTGTTATAGAATATGAATGTGTTATACCTATGAATATATGTATTTTCAAAGCTTGAGCCAAATGTTGGGGAAATACAGGTGAGCTTTAATAGACATAAGCAGAGTATTCTAAAGTGCCTGATAACCCAAGGCAGAGGCTGATTCTAGCTGTGCCTACTTGGAAACGTCTATTCAAAAACAGATCACTTTTTTCAGCTGGGCTTGTTTTCAAGTAACAGCCTAATCATATGTAGAGCTAGGCATGCATTAATCTCTTTAGACTGGACTACAAGCATGTTTTGTGGTGCACTTGTAAGGTTGATCTTTTGCATTTAAGTGTGTGAGTCTTTGCAGAATGAATTGTGTGCTGTTAGAATCAATTTTGTCAGTTCATTTGCTAGTATTTTGGATGTCTGAAGGTGTCATTACCGCAATTAAGACAAGTACTTTCTGATCTCTTCCTCTCGATATCTTAAATGACAGATTTGCAGTTGTAACTTAAGGATGTGTTGAGGTGGGCATATTCAGCGTTGTGCATCATGATAATTTCTGAAATAGTCCAAATTATTGTAATGTAGTTCAAATATTTGTTTTCTTCAATTTCTTCAATGCTAAACAAGTTAGGTAATGTTCTTCTACAGTGCTGTCTACCTTGGAGTGTGTTGAGAAGTCAGACTTCACTATTAACTGTAAATAAATGTACATTCTGTTAAGGACCAGGCACAACAGGGTGTTCAGTAAGAGTATTGTGCTGTTGAACTGATGCAGACATCAATGAGGATCTCCCATTGCATCTGCATTGTATTTTTGTTTACATTTCTAACTTGCTTATAGAATCAATGTAACAATTGTAGCCCTAAGCATACTTATTTGGAAGTGAGCCTTATTTAATTCAGTAAATCTTAGTTCCAGGTACGGTACACATGTTAGGATAAAGATGCCAGTCACTTGGAGTTCTAGAATGCTATAGCATATTCTTGTGGCCTGATCAAAAGCCTCTTTAATCAGAGTTTGTGAATGTGTATGTTCTATGCCGTCAACTTGGAACCAGCTTATGGCAACCCTAATAGGATTTTCAAAGTAAGTGAGATATTTAAGCAGTGGTTTTACCCCACACCAGTTCCACTCCTCCAGTGAGTTTCCGTGGCTGAGTTAGGATTCAATCCTGTTCTCTAGAGTCCTAGTCCATCACTCTATCCACTACACCATACTGGAATCACTCAGAGATTATGCATACCCAAATAAGTTGTCATATTTAAGCCTTATTATAATAAGTGTCTTCATATATAAATATATACTGCTTTAACTTTGCAAGCATTTTAGAGCAGGACCAGTACAAATGTATTTGATTGTCTCATGTCAATACCACAAATTAAACACAGTTGGCAACATGACAATCTCTTTGCTGATAGAAAAGAAAGAAAATTGTTTCACACATTATAGGCTTCAGTTTTTCAGAGCTTATGACCTGACCAATCCATGGTAAATAAAATTTAATCTTTGCTTTACCCATTAGTTTGTATCCAGAGATCTGCTCACACTGACAGAAGGAGGCAGATTGGCATTCTTCATAATTAATTATTTCTCCTGTGCCTCCTGAAAAGTTTGTGTGGAAGGCTGGAAGCCAGAAAAGTAATGGTGTTGTTGAACCAGGACTGGATAGTCTATGTGCTGGCTGTTTTTGGACATTAGTGACGAAGAAGTCTTTGGTCACCTTTTTTGGTTTTTCTGATTTCCTCTTAGTGTAGCTTTTGTCTTCATGGTGGTTAGAGAATAGTAGGGAAGATTTTCCAAACAATATACCTGTATATTGTTATGATCTGTCTCTGTTGTATTGTAAAGTATCTTGGAGTGGTTTGGTCTTAAGCGCAAAAAGAAAACCCATCTGTTAGGCAAAGGACCTAAACTTGGGGGAGGAGAACATTGTCAAAAAATTTAGTTTGTTGAGATGGATCAATGCAGGTACTTGGAATTTTTTTAACTTTCTTTGGTGGCATAGTGATCAAAACTATCTTAATAAACAACTGTGTTTTAAAATTTAACACTGCATCACTGTGAGAATCTCTCTGAACATGAAAGATGGCACAAGGGAGAAAGGAAATTGATGAGATCACTTCCCTGCTCCCTACCTCCAGCAGGATGACTCTACTGGGTCTTGATATATTCCCTGAATAGAAAGGGTTCTTCTTTCATGGAATGCCTGATCTGGGTCTAAACACGTTAGCTGAAGTCGACTCCTTCATGAATTCCATTGATTCACTCAGTCTACTCTAGTTTGAACGTACTACTGGATTTTAGCGATTGAGTTTTTCAGTTCTTTTAAATTCTTTATTCATGCTTGCATGTTATGGTTTAATTTTGCTTTCTTAGAAGTACAAGAGATGTTGCATTCACACGCACGCACGCACGCGCACGCACACACGCACACACACACACACACACACACACACACACACAAACCATTCCTGGCACTAGTCTCTTTTTCTGTGTACTGAAGGCCCTAAACATGAATAATTATTTAGATACTTAGTATTTTGTATTGTTTTTATGCTACTTTTGTACCCACTTTTAATATGGAGATATCAAACTTTGCCTTTCCTTGTGAGCATTTATCTTTCCTGGTCATGGGTTGATAGGCATCTGTTTGTATATTGAGCCCATGAATCCAATGTGGTGCTTGCAGTAGCATCAGGATTTTGGGCATCTGATCCCTGCAGCCCTCTCTGATGCAGAGAAATGTGTTCTGAGTTTCCCAGCCTAAATTTTTAAACAGTTTTCAAGGTTCATGGTTGTCTGCAAGAGAGGGGGGGATTTCCCCCTCCCACTTCCAGCTTCTGTCAGTAAAGAGATTGTATTGGATATTGGACCTGGGCTTTAAATACTTAGTCATTATAAAGTAAGTGAAAAAGTGTTAAATGGGTTGTTGTTCAGTTTAGAATCAATGGTGCAACATTTATACTTATCCAGTAAAATAGGGTGTGGGGTTTCTAGAAGAAATATAAATTGGAAGAATCTAAATGAGTGGAGGTCTGATTTAGCATATTTATTTGGCTTACCTTTATTAAACAACAGCTTTCAAAAAGTGTACTGTGT